AAGAAGGGGATGGCGGTTCGCAAACGGCAAACCGCGTGGGACATCCTCACACAAATTCTTGTTCTCACGGTTCCAACTCGGTTCGAAAGAAGGGGATGGCGGTTCGAAAACGGCAAACCGCGTGGGACACCCTCACAAAAATGGTTGTTCTGACGGTTCCACGTCGGTTCGAAACAATAGCATCGATTTCCAAACGGTTGGAAATCGAGCGTTTCGCTTGAGACTTCCTTCACAATACGTTTGAAGCCCAACGGCCGCGTCGACGACGACGACGACGACGACGACGACGACGACAATGACGACGACGACGACGACGACGACGACGGCGGTTACGACGTTTACATGCGCTCTCGCCCGAATGCCGGGCACTCCTTAAGTTCTCGCCTCACCGCCGGCCAGTGTCTCGGTCTGGCCGACCGCTCTCTGGGGTGGCGCCCGGAGAGGCCCCCGGTGCGGCGCTGGCCCCCTTCCGGAGGGGGGGACGTGCCGGGGGGAGACACCCGCCCCCCCCCCTTCAAGGGGGGGACCCCTTGGGGGGAGATACTGCTGTCACCCCCAAACAGGCACATTTTTGAAAAGGACCCGCCCGTTTGGGCTGCTTCTGCTTGGGCCGGCTGATCTACACCATTTCCTATTGGAAAACCAATATGTTTTCCACTAGTTTTCCGGGTTCCGGCCTTTTCTGAAAAATCGTGTTTTTTTGTCCCGACCCCACCCCGGAGGCCGAATCCAACAGGGAAAGCACGACTCATCCGCCCGTTTGGGCTGCTTTTGCTTGGGCCGCCTGATGCACCCCATTTCCTATTGGAAAACCCGTATGTTAGGAAGAGGGAGGATGAGGAAGAGGGAGGAAGACAGGAGGAGGAAGGAGGGAGGAGGGGAAGGGAGTGGGAGGAGGAGGAAGAGGAGGGAAATGATGAGGACGAGGAGGACGAGGAGTAGGACAGGCGCCGAAGGTTTCGGTGGGGATCGTTCGAAGTATGATATTGTCTGGGCCAAGTGGTTTTTTAGGGTTTGACCCCAGCTCCGAAGGCCCAATCCAACAGTCAAAACACGACCTTCTAGCAGTAAATGCGAGCGTGATCGCAACAGTCTCGATTGCTATCGTAAGTCCAATGCAAATTCGTCCAGGTCGTCCTCGCTGCAACTTTCGGGGCAAGTTGGGGGGAGGAGGGGTGGAAGGATGAGGGAGGAGCTTGCATCGATCAACTTTCAGGCTTTATTGATATTGTTGTGCTCTGCGTACTTGAGCTGCTTGTCAGCAGTGGTGTTCACTGGCAATGTGTCGTTCACAGGCGGCCGGGTGCTCACACTCACAGTGGTGTTCAGGCGTTGCTGGACTCGGGTAGTGTTGATCCGGCTCCGAGGCCAAATCGAGCAGTCAAGACATGGCCTTCGAGCAGTAAATGCGCGCGTGGTCGCAACAGTCTCGGTTCTTATCGCAAATCCAATACAAAATTATCCAGTTTGTCCTCGCTGCAACATGTAGGACATGTTGGAGGGAGGACGGGTGGAAGGATGAGGGTGGAGCTTGCATCGATGAACTTTCAAGGCTTATCGATGTTGCTGCGCTCTGCGTGCCTGGTGTTCACTAGCAAGAGCTCAGAGTCACATTGGTGCTGAGGCGTTGTTGGACTCAGGCAGTATTGATCCAGCTCAGGCCGAATCCAAGAGGTAAACAACTGTCTTGGAAGAAATGCGCGCGCGGTCGCAGCAGTCTCGATTCCCAGCGCAAATCAAATGCCAACTCGTCCAGTGTGTCTCCGCTGCAACTTCAAGTTGGAGGGAGGAGTGGTGGAAGGATAAGGGTGGATCTTGGCGATGTTGTGCCCACAGGCATCTGGGTGCTCACTGTCACTGCGGTGCTCAGGCGCTGCTGCGCCCAAGTAGCACTGATTGTATTTCGGTGCAACCAGCTCCACATCACAACGACACCGATCGAAGCACCTCCTCATGCCACAACAGCGCGTGGATGCATCGTAGCCATTACTTCGTCTATGCTAAAAAAGGGCAACACTTTAATCAAGCCCATGTATATATATATATATATATACACATACAAACACATCGCCTACATGCGAGAGAACACACCCTCCCACGTGAAATAGGAGCAAGTGTTTGTCGAGGTTCTGCTCGTGGCCCATAATATCCAGGGCCTCATCGAGGATCTGATCGGAGGTCTTGAACGCCGGGGAAAAGCTGGAGACAAACTGGAACTCCCTTGCCCGCGTTAACTTCAGCAAGTCGCCAGCATACTAAAGGCTCAGATCGACAGCAATGTCCTCGGCAGTTCCTCGCAATGGAAAAGCCGCCTGCAAGTTTCAAGAGGTGGGGCGCCGGTCGGTCTGGGTCCATTTTTTCACTGGCAAGCGTGCCCGAGAGGAGTTCCACCGCGAACGGCTCTCTCATCGTGCCTCCCTTCTGTGGTGCCACCCGGAGGTCGTCTTGGTCGTCGTTGGTAGATAATTTCGCTCGGGTCTCTCGATATCGCTGTTTCCCGAGGGCGACGTCGTCGAGCGTCGAAGCGAATAGCCTTGCCGTCGTGTCGCGCCCCCTCCAATCCCCCGTCCCGAACGCGTTAGAGAGATCGTTGAAACCTGCAAAGAAGCTCCTACCTGCTCGGGTTTAATCTCTACGCCGTAGCCTGCGCTGCAAACATGGCGCCTTTCTGGCGTCGCCACGCGACGAAGCCGAAGTCGGACTCGTCAGCAGGCACTCTCAGCAGGCCTGCATGAATGGACTTCCCGTGAACCACGCGGTTTCGCTTGGGCCCGTGAGCGGTGCATTTACGTAGAGCAACTCCGTGGCTCTGGTGCCAATGGGTCGGGGACAGGCTGAGGTTCCGAATCGTCCTGAAACCAGACACCAAAGCTCATCCAAACAAATGCAGGTCCGGGACGTTGTCCAAAGCGACCGGACCCAAACGTTGTCGAACTAGCGTTTTTGTGGGGGTGCATGCGCATCTGCCAGAGCTCGACGGGCGGGGTCTGCTTCGGGGCTTCTCTCCTCCTGGGGGCCTTCTGAATAGCCTTCTGGACTCTCGCGCAATCCTCGTGCGCCATGGCTGTGACATTGGAGTTGGGCGGGCACGGCGGACATGGAAAAACAGCAGCTGGTGGCTCAGGAGGGAAACTTCTACTACAGACATACCTCCCTGTCCATCTGGTAACCACCAGACCTGTAGCCACTGATCTCGGCTTGGCATGCCTGAGCGCACTAGTCGTGGAACTCGTTTTTGTCGGGCCGTATCGACACCGCGCTGCCCTTCTTGAAAGTCGCACGGCACAAGATGTCTTGCGGTGTTCCCAAGCAACCTCGATCTCATCCTGGATATGTTTACGGCGGGCGTGAGCCTCTTGACGTCGCTGCAACTTGAGAGGCTGAGAGAAGGCCTTCAGCTGATCGTTGATGTCCAGCCAGTCGGCATTATCCTCGCTCCTCTGTTCCCTCAGTCCAGCACTCCGTCGTAAGAGCTCCCGTCGGTGTATGTTCTGATCCTGTCGAACGGGGTCAGCTTGCTCTTGGATTCAATCGAGCCCGACCTTCATCAATTCCTGGTCAAGATAGGCGAAGAAAGCGTCAGGTGTGCCGCTGTTCAATAGTGGGCGCCAAGTCTCTTGGTCGTGTTCCAGAATCCGCTCTATCTGGTTGAAAACCATGCTTTGCCATCTCCCTCTCCCTTCAACGCGTCCAGAAGCCGATCCTTGTCAAGACGGGGCTCCTTTACTGGTCGGGCCACCTCAGGATCCTTGGAGACGTTGCGCACGAGGAAGAAAGGGAGGTGGTCGAGTGGTGGTTTGCCTCGATACGTTTGAAACTGTGCCCCCAGGCGGCGTAATGTATGGCGTCTGACTATCTGGTTTGTGTAGCCCCACGGCGCGAAGATGTAATCGATGAGGTTGCTGCTTCTTTCATTAATCTGTGTATGTTCGCGACGACCTCGTGTGTTGTACGCGAAGAGGTGGTGTCTTGCAGCGGCTCGCCGAAGAGTTTTTCCTGCACCACCTCTACGCGCTTCTCGTGCTGCTTGTTCCACCACTTCCTCCTCACATGGCTTCCAAACGTCGTCGTTTTGCCAACCCGACGCCATCATTTGCGTCTGTGCGCAGGATGGGGCAGCATCTTTTCGGTAAACAGCCAAGCAGCTTGTTCAGCCATGTAGCATGCGCGCACGGTTGTGAGGTAGTGGCCCACGTCGGTCTTGCCCTTCGGCTGAGGTAAAAAAGAAATCACGATGAAACTGTATTCCAAGTGTTGTCACTTGACTCGCATGCCGAGCGCACGGCCCCAGGCCTGGTCGGGAACAGCCAAGCAGCTTGTTCAGCCATGTAGCATGCGCGCACGGTTGTGAGGTAGTGGCCCACGTCGGTCTTGCCCTTCGGCTGAGGTAAAAAAGAAATCACGATGAAACTGTATTCCAAGTGTTGTCACTTGACTCGCATGCCGAGCGCACGGCCCCAGGCCTGGTCGGGACTGCCCCAAATCTGACAGATGTGGGACTACTGGAAGCAAGCATCTGCCCAGCGCGATGGCGCAGCCCGTGCTCTTGTCGGTCAGCTGCCCACGGCTGTACTCAGCCTCTACGACACGCTTGCCTGCGAAACGTCGTTGAAGAGGGGCCTGCGCTCGGCGGCTGTATGCTTGAGTCCCAACCAACAGAAAAACGTCGAGCGCTGCAGAAACCGTGAGAATCTCCTCGGGCCGCATGCCTGTGGCCGATTGCGGATTCCAGCCGATCAAGCGTAACATCCTCGGCCACAGAGCCCAGCTCCCATGGCTGAGCGCCCCCTCTGCTCCCCGCCTGACGGTGCTGGCTGGCACTGCCTGCAAATGGCTCGGGCGGAGACGGCGGCTGGAGGAGGAGGAGGAGGAGGAGGAGGAGGAGGAGGAGGAGGCGGAGGAGGAGGAGAAGGAGGAGGAGGAGGAGGAGCAGCAGGAGGAGGAGCAGCAGGAGGAGGAGGAGGAGGAGGAGGTTGAGGAGGGGAGTTCCGCACGTCAGCCTCGACGGTGTACCTCGCGTTGGGCAGCCCGATGTTCCACTCCTCCTCAGGGCACGTCCCCGCTCTGTCTGGGACGATGCCGGTGTTGTCCAGGAACGGCCAGCCGAACTGGCGGCGGTCTACGGCCCTCGTGGCGGGGAAAACGGCAGAAGGCCTGCAGAAACCCACGGGCCTCCTCCTCCTCCTCCTCCTCCTCTTCGATCCCCCTCCTCCTCTCCTCCTCCTCCTCCTCTCCTCTTCCTCCTCCTCTTCCTCCTGCTCCCCCTCCTCATTATTCTTACTGTGTTATCTCCCCTCCTACCTGCTCCCATCCTCCTCCTCCCTTCTCCTCCTCCTCCTCCTTCTCTTCCTCCTCCTCCTCCTCCTCCTCCTCCTGCTCTCCTCATGCAGCTGATGTTGCTGCTGCTGCTGCTGTTGCTGTTCCTGCTCATGTTTCTCCTCCTCATCCCTCTGTTGCTCTCCTCCTCCTCCTCCTCCTCCTCAATACCCTCCCCGTCCTCGTCCTCATTCTCCTCCTCCTCCACCTCCTTTCCTTGTCCTTATGAATAACTCCTCCCTGTCGCACCCCGGGGCCAGTCGAAAGGGCGGGCCGGGCGCTGCGCCTGAGACTTCCTCACCCATATATGACCCTGAACCTTCCAATATTCTGCAGCTTCTCGGATGGAAAGGCGGGTGGTTTTCAACATGTATGTCTCGCTGTAGCTCCGCGCACATCCGTCTGGAGGGCGGACCTGAGCGCCGCGCGCATCCATTTTAAGAATTTGCGGCAGTTTCAAGGACTCTCATGGTTAGCATCCAGAAGCGTTTTTTTGGCACGACGTCGGAATGTCAGGGCGGAACAGTCACGTTCATTCGCAGTGTTGAAGTCCCAGGCACGGTGCAGGATCGTCAAGACGCAACAGAAGCGGTAACTCGCAGCGTTGAAGTCCCAGGAATGGCGCTCTGGCGCATTTTCACAGATGATTTTCAGAATGTGGCTCTCGCAGCAGCGTCGCGCACATCCGTCTTCACCATGTGCAAGAATTTGGCGGATGGAGGGCAGGCTGTTTTCACGATGTGGCTCTCGCCTTAGCGCCGCGCACAATCGTCTCAACATTTGCAAGAGCTTCACGGATGGAGGACAGTCTGTTTTCAAAATGTGGCTCTCGTCTTAGCGCCGCGCGCATTCGTCTTTCAAAACTGCTAGAGAGAGAGAGAGAGAGAGAGAGAGCTTCGCAGATGGAGGCCCGCTCCTTTTCAGCATGTGGCTCTCGCCTTAGCGCCGCGCACATTCGTTGAAAGAGCTTACAACAGTTTCAAATATTCCCATGGTAAGCCTCCCAGAGATCATGTTTTTGCACGGCGTCGGACAATCAGGGCGCAACCGTCACGTTCATTCGTGGTGCTGAAGTCCCAAGAACGGCGTGCTGGCACGATTCCGGATCGTCAAAACGTGCCAGGATTCGCGGCGTTGAAATCCCAGGAATGGTGTTCTGGCACAGTTCAAGATTTTCACCCCCAGTTGTTTTCCAACGGGGCCCTTCCTTCAGTGAACATGAATCATGCTCGGGCCAACGAAGAGGGAACTTTGAGGGTTCATTGCAAGATCGTTGACAATGAGTTTGGGGAATGTATGAATAGTCCTCCTCCTAATCCTCCTCCTCCTCCCGATACCTCCCCCCTCCTTCCTCCCTATCTGCCTCCTCCTCCTCATCATCCCTTCTCATCCTCGCCATCGCTTTTCTCCAGCCGACCCCCTGCTCCTCTAACGAGGACGCCGACGACAATAAAACGACGACCTCGACAACACCGTAAACGGCGACGCCAACAACGACAACGACGACGACACCGACGACCCTGATGACGCGTGACGCGACTGGGAGACAACGCGCGCGCACAGGGGAAGCAGCGAGGAGAGAGAGGATGAGGATGGAGATGGAGGAAGGAGGAGGAGGAGGAGGAGGAGGAGGAGGAGGAGGAAGAGGAGGAGGAGGAGGAGGAGGAGGAGGAGGAGGAGGAGGAGGAGGAGGAGGAGGGGAGGGGAGGGGGATGGGGAGGGGGAGGAGGAGGAGGAGGAGGAGGAGGAGGAGGAGGAGAAGCAGCAGGAGCAGCAGGAGCAGAAGGAGCAGCAGAAGCAGGAAGAGGAGAAGTCTGGCCCTACGATGTCGGCTCCTCGCGGGGCCACGAAGCGAATGAGGGGTATACCGAAAAGGATCGGGAACTGCATGGGAATCCCCCACTGAGGGTTTCGGTGGGGTTCCCTGTGGAGGCACGATGCGCTTGAGGGGTGTGCCGGAATGGGTTAGGAAGCGAATGCGACGCCCCCCCTCCTGGGGGCTTCGGTGGAGTTCCCTGTGGAGGCACGAAGCTCGTGAGGGAGGTACGGAACATGTTTGGGAACCGCATGCGACCCCCCCACTCCTGGAGGCTTCGGTGAAGCTCCTTTTGGAGCCACAAAACGTGTGAGGGACTTCGCCATAAAACGTTTGAGGGGCGTGCCGAAATGGGTGCGATCCCCCACTTCTGGGGGTTTCGGGGGAGTTCCCTGTGGAGCCACGAAACGTGTGAGGGATGCACCTGGATGGGTAAGAACCGAATTCGACCCCCCCCCCTGGGGTCTTCGGTGGAGCTCCCTGTGGGGCCACGAAATGTGTGCGGGGTGTGCCGAGATGGTTAGAAACTGCATGCAAAAACCTCCTCGCGGGGGCTTCGGTGGAGTTCCCTGTGGGGCCACGAAACGTGTGAAGAAGAACGGCATACGAAAACCCCTCTCACGAGGGATTCGGTGGAGCTCCCTGTGGGGCCACGAAGTGTGAGGGTTGTGCCGAAGTGAGTAAGAACCGGATGCGGCCTTGGGTGGAGCTCCCCCAGGGGGCCACGGAACGTGTGAGATGTGTGCCGAAATTGCTGAGGCAGGGAAGGAGGGAGGGAGGGGGCAGCAGGTGGGAGGTGACGCGAGGCGCTCTTTTCGAAACGAGGACCCAGCAACACAGGATGGCTGGGAACAAGAGAAGCTCCGATTCCCGACGACTGCGACGACGACGACGGCGGCGGCGACGACGACGACGACGACGACGGCGACGACAAACATCCACTCTAGACAAGTCCAAGCGAAAGACCCAACCTTTGTATTTATGAATGCTGCGTTGTGGGTACCACTTTCGGCAGAGCTCCCTATGGAGCCACGATGCTCGTGAAGGGTGTGCCAAAAAAGGGGGCGCCACCGTGCGAACTTTGAAACTGGGGCCTGCGGCGGGGCTCCCTATGTGATCACGCTCCTCGTGAAGGGTGTGCCGAAATGGGCGCGGTGCCACCATGCGAACGCAGTCACTTGGGCCTTCGGTGGAGCTCCCTATGGGGCCACAAAACGTGTGAGGTATGTGCCGACATGAATGCTGCGCCACGATGCGAACGCAGCCATTGGCGCCTCCGGTAAAGCTGCATATGTGGCCACGAAACGCGTGAGAGGTGTTCCGACATAGTAGATGATGGTGCTGCTGTTTCTGCTGAGGAGAAGGATGAGAAAGAGGAGGAGGGGGGGAGGAGGAGGGTGGTGGTGATGATGCTGATGTGGATGATGATGATTATGGAGAAGAATAATGATATTGGTGGTGTTGACGATGGTGATTGTGATAGTGGTGATGGCGATGGTAATGATGACGATGATGATGATGCTGATGGTGATGATGGTACGATGATAATGGTGATAGTGATCCTGATCACGATGGTGATGGTGATGGTTATGATGAATGGTGTTGATGATGGTAGGTATGATGATGATGGTCATGATGATCATGACGATGATGATGAACAGGACAATGATGATGGTGATGAGCAGGATGATGATCATCATGATGATGAATATGATTATGACGGTGATAGAATGTGCAATACAGAGATGATGATGCTGTGGTGATGGTGATGATGCTGACGATAAGCTGATGCTGGTGATGATGATGCTGTTAAAGAGGATGATGATGATGATGATGATGATGATGATTGTGAGCATGATTATGATTGTCTTGCTGATGGTGATGATGATAAATATGATGACGATGGTGGTGGTGATGATGGTGATGATGATGGTGGTGATGATGATGGTGGCTTCGGAAATAGTGATTGTTGTGGTGATGGCGATGTTGATGATAATGGGGATGATGATGATGATGATGATGATGATGGTGATGATGATAGTGATGGTGATTATGATAATGATGGTGATGATGATGATGATGATGCTGCTGCTGCTGCTGCTGATGATGATGATGATGATGATGATGATGATGGTGGTGTTGATGATGAGAATGACGACGATGAGGACGATGAGGATATGCGGAGGACAGAGGCAGGGATGGGAACGGGACGAGGAAGGAGGAGAAGGAGAGGAGTGACGAGGGGCGCTATCTCTTCAAAACGAGGACCTAACACCACAAGATGGCTGGGAGCAGTCACCTGATGCCTCCTGGGGGCGACCCTGACCCATTTTTAGCTGCGTTCAGCCGTGGCGACGAACACCTCGAGGAACGCTCAAGAACCTCCGGAACGACGACCACGACGACGACGACGACGAGCGCAGTCCTCGTGGCGGGGGCACCACACTTCCAGCCCCAGTGGTACCCGTCTGGTCGAAGTGAGTACGACCTCGGCCCGCCGCTGCAGACCGCCGCCCGCCGCCGATCCGCCGTCGTCGGTCCGTCGTTGTCGTCGTCGTCGATCGAGGGTCGAGGGTTTCTGGCCGTTGTGGGCCCCCAACGGGCGCCCAGGCAGTCGGAGGCGGGAGAAGAGGAGGAGGAGGTCCGCAGCCATTTGGGCTCGAGCCATGTTGGCTCAAACCCACGGGCTGGCTCAAGGCGGTGCTTTCTGGACAACGCGGCTTATACGTACAAGTCAAGTAACAGCAATGCGTTTCTCGCTGTTGGAAGTGTGTCAGCAGACGTGCCGAGAGTCGAAAAGGCCGAGTGCATCGTCATCATCATCATCATCATCATCATCATCATCATCATCATCATCATCATCATCGTCATCATGATAACAGTCGTTATCATCATGCTCGTCATCATCACCAGCAACAACATTAACACCATGATCATCATCGTCGTCACCTTCGTCATCATCATCATCATCAGCATCATCATCATCATCATCATC